TGGCTGGGGCTAAACCATGACATGGGGAGACTTCAAAGGGAAAAATCAGGCTTTTTCCAGTGTCCGTGCTATGCATTTCTCTGTTCTTTCCTGTGTATATTTTTTCAGCTTTCTACTTAACTTTCTAGGGAAAAATAAAACTAGCTCTAGACAAAAGTTTGACCATATGCTATTTTAAAAAATGGTGCAAATCTTCACAATCCTGTGGCTTTCTCTGTCCTCCCAGGACATGTCTGTCTGTGAGCTGGCTGTGCTATTTGGCGGTAAAAAATTACGGGTTTTTTCAGTCAGCTTTGGAATGGGGCTGCTCTCTGAATCTGAATGTCATAATGAACATTGATCCTCATCTCACAGTGTATGGGGTTGTGAAATCGGGGAAGCATGATCTCTGCTTGATTTACCTCAAAGGAAAATACAGAACAACCCCTCACCCAAACCAGACTTTGGCATCATATTTGTAATGCACGTCTCACATGTGTTCAATCAAATCTCCCCGCTTAAAAGAAGGCTAGATTGTCCCTTTTATGCACTATGTAGGAATGCATATGTGGATCTGAAATTATGTAGATATTTCTGTTTTGTAATGTGCTCCTAAGGCTTCTAGGAGAGAATAAAATGTAAACGAAATGAACAGAGGGAAAAACAAATTGACCATTTTTTTTTTACTGGCATATATTATGTAAATTGCGTGCTACAGGTCTTTCAGCATGTGCCAGTGCTGATAGTCAGGATGCTTGGCTGTTCCACACTATTAACAAAATTTCCTGTTACACCTAAAGCACAGCAACTGTTTTCTCTCATAATGAAAGTGTTCAATGTAAATGTTTTTGTAATGCAGAAAATAAGTGTTTGTCATTTTTTTCTAATGGATTTTCTTTAAAAATAAGATTGTGAATTTTTTTTTTTTGCTAAGTTTCTGATTTCTTCTAGAGTTTTTAAGATGTATTCACAGAGGCTGACTTCTGTCTAGGGCAGTTAATCTCCTTTGGCTACCCCTTTAATTCCTTAGAGAAGGGAGGTGTCTTCAGTTCCACTGACAGTAGAAGCAACCTAGGGTGGTTAGACTAAAACTGGGTTTTTGGGAACAACTCTGCGGTTGAAGATATGATTAGGTAATGTTTTCTTCAGAGCACTTCACAAATTAATTGTCTTCTTGCTCTAATGAAATGGTGGTAATGTATTTCAAAATGTCTTCCACCTGCGAAGCAAATGACAACTTCTCGATACTTCTGTGAATGTAAGGAATAGCGTTTGAAAAATATTCTTCTGTTTTGAGATGTTTCATACTTCATTCTCTTTTTCAGAAAGGGAGGAAAGAAGGAATGCTTGGTTGTTCTTGTTCAGGTTCAGAACCTAAAAAGTTTAGGTTAATGCTTTTTTTTAAAATTCAAGGTAGCATTTTTGTAGGATTATTGTCTCGAAGGTGATAGGTGAGATGGTTTAATTGGGAGGTATGTTTCATGATTTCATTATTAAAAACCACAATTAGGAAGTCGAAGCATTACTTTGAAACAGAGTACCTTAAATAATCTAGGAATAAATTTTATTCTCAAGTAGAAATCTCTTTTCTTGAGTAAAGAAACTTTTAGACTTGTGTAGTTTTGTTGGTGTGGATGAGATGTGTATACAGCTTTAATGTAGGCACTTTTGCCTGTCTCATTCTGAAAACCTTCCTCCATTAACTGACTCCTAGGCTTTTGTGTTTTCAACAAAAGCAAAGTTCCGGTAGCTTCCTTTTCTAATTGGCATCTTTTAAAGGGGAGCCCCCAAATCTCTAAAGCATGCAAACTATGGTATTGTTTATTCACATGGTTCTGGTATACATGCTTTTCTGTCTTTTTTTCCTTTTTAAAAACTGAGGAGACTTTCAAGACTTTCTTAAAAAGATTGAAATTGTTATTAAGACAACAAAGCTTGCAGGGATAAGATGTATTCTCTTAGACTTCCAGAGATAGGGGGAAAGCAAGAAAGCTTTTTGGCTCACAGATATTCCTTCAGAAGTTTATGCTTTTTCGTGAGTTATGCCAGTTTGCTTAATAGAATATTTTTCTTTACAAACATTGCCTTGTTTATGTCAGATGATCACAATGGTGGTTGCATTGGATGTGGGCATGACAAACTAAGTTTTATTCACTTCCTTTACCTTAGTCCAAGTCCCTGGTTTTTTTGCCCAGTTTGTGTTAAGATTTAAATGTTTCTATTTGGGAATTATCTTTGGAAGGAAGGAAAGGGAAGAGGGGCTCTGAACTCTGAGGGGCCTTCTGAATTATTTTGGGTTGTTTCCATGTGTGAAAAGTGCATAGGGACTCTTACCATCTTCCAGTAGATGAAATTTGTAATGTGTTGAGGACTGCATTTATGTGTGTATGAGTTTGTATGAGCACTATATATTTTTGCTATTGTATGTCTTGATGTCATTTTTGATGTTGCAGGCTGAGTATGTCCAGCTTGTCACAGAGCTTAGAATGACAAGAGCCATTCAGCCTCAGATAAATGCCTTTTTACAAGGCTTCCATATGTTCATTCCACCATCTTTGATCCAGCTTTTTGATGAATATGAACTGGTAAGCAGAAATTCCTATACTTTTTTAAATACTTTGTTCAGCATACTTTATCAGTAGTGTAATGATATAGAAGTAAAGTTCAGTACCCACAGCATAAGCATTTTGTATCTTTCACTTTGGTTTTGCTTCCTGGACATCTATCAGTGAGGATATCAATATGTGTATTCCTGCTTACCCTAATTACTTAGAATGATCATCTTCCTGGAATGTGATAGCTTCAAGTGCCAGTGATAAATGCCTTAAATTGTAATTTCAAAATGGAATCAGGGTGTTGTGGCCTTTAAGCCTTTTCATATTTTCTTTCAGGAGGACAGAAGTTCTTTAAAAGTAAGGAGATGCTGTCTGTTACTTTTTCTGAGTCACAGAATCAAATTCCAATAAGTTTTTGTGGTGGTTTGATCTTCTGTAACCAACACATCTCAAGTTTTGTCTCAAGTCATGCCAAAACTCAGAGCTTTTTTTCTTTTAGCTTCTTCGGCAATAATTCCTATCTCTTGATACCGTGTGCTTAAATTAAACAGATCATATGAAGTTACCTGAATTCAAGAATCTTCTTGTACTAAAAATCATAGGTTGCATAAGGTTGCCACTAAACAGAAGCAGCACTGTAATTTTTATACTTGTTAAAGCATTACTTTTCAAGTGTTTATGCTATTTTAAAATTAATGATTAGTTAGGAGGACTAATCATGATCTGTGTGCTTCTTCTGAAGGAGCTTTTGTTGTCTGGTATGCCAGAAATTGATGTGAATGATTGGTTAAAAAATACGGAGTACACCAGTGGCTATGAGAGAGGAGACCAAGTTATTCAGGTAAAATAATTTTTTTTAATAATGATGACTATTGCATTTTAATCCAAAAAAAGGTGGTGCTGTTGTAATTTTCTCTGTGTGTTTATGGAAGCTTATTTTGGCCGAAATTTGTGCAAGTTTTTTATACTATATTCCTATATTAAGTGACTTTTGCAGCATCTGTGGTATGAATTTCATATGAAAACTTCCATCATTTAAGTAACAAACACACAAATATTCCATTTATTGTTTTACCATTATCTTTTCAAGTACTACGAGTATTTAATGGAAAATACAAACTAACTTATTTTTCATTTAGTGGTTCTGGGACGTTGTGGAAGAACTAACTCAGGAAGAGAGAGTATTACTATTACAGTTTGTTACTGGCAGGTGAGAAACTTTCCTCTAATGACAAAAATATTGCCTGGATACTCTGAAATAAGTCAAGAGACTTCAGATTACCATACAAGATCACCTAACTAGGAACTGTTTTGCAAACTTAGGTGTTCTATATGTTGATCAAAGTAGACAAAGTGTGTGTTAATACTTTTGCTGCCTGTATTGCCAGCAAAATGATTGATTACTTATTTATTATACTTGACTACTTTGCAAGAGGCCTTTGTTGCTGTCCCAGGCAATATTTAACAAGGCAGTAGTGAATTTAACTGCACTTTATATTCTTCTTCCTGTTGCCTATTTATGTGGCTCTTGGCTTCTCCAGTAATCAATATAGGCTTTAATATATGAGATAACTAGGTATCACTTCAGTCAGTGTAAACAACATCCTTCTCCTAAAGCTGAGGTGAATTTAGCATTAGTGCAGCGTAAAGATGTAACCTTATGCAAGACGATGTTTGCTTTATATAGGATTTCTGTCCTAAATTCTAATTGTTCTTCAGGGAAAGCCACTTTTATTTCCTTTTATGGTTTGGGGGCAGTGGGGGAAGGTTTTGAGCAATAAATGCCCCTGTGAGGTGGGTGAATTGCTGAGTTTGTATATACAGAGATTTTGCAAAGCGGATCCATAGACATACATGTGGCACCTGCGTTGTGTAATCCATGTCTTTTTCTGGTGGTGGGCAGAGATTGCACCATCTTCTTAATTTGATGTTCCCTTCATATTCTAGGATTAGTAGAGTTAGTTGACCTTTTGTTTATAAGTCTTGTGGTTAAGCAATGGTAAAGTACAAATTAAGATCATCAAATCTTGTCTCTTATACCAAGGAATTTCACAGTAATGGATGTATCGCCAAATGGCATGGTCTTCAAATTCTATTAGTTTCACCTGACTTATTATGAATTTCATTGTTTTTAGGGATCACAGACAATTTAGGAAGCTAGTTCTGTGCACATGGATCTTTTCTTCTTGTCCTCTGCAGAAATGATTCCTGCAGTTCTAACTGCACATCTGTTACACACCAGCTGCTGGTCTTTCATTTTTAGTGGACTAGTCCATTTCTAAATCTAGATGGCAAATAAGGACCTTCAAGATGTAAGGTCATGTTTCAAATGCTTCTGAAAACATTCCAAATGATACTGAAGTGGCATTCACTATTTTCATGGCATTTGGATTAATCTACTGGATTCTAAGGGATGCTTTCTAGCAAGTAAACAATTATGTTGTCTGATAAATACGTGCTTCAGCACCATTAATTTTGGTCACAAATCACATAGTGACTTGTTCTTACCCATTTCTTGTTAGTAGCAAAGAAATTTTTGGTGTGTCTCTTAAGAACTCTGGGCTGGAATTGAAAAACAAATTGCTTAGTCTTTTTTCTGTATCAGCTAGTAGGAACACATTGTGTTTTTTATTCAGTGATTGAAGTATAATAGGTATATTTTTCCATAAAAATTTAACTTTTGAAAGTTACCTCTAATAGTAGTATGCAGCTGGCACTTTTGCACATGAATCCCCAGACAGTCCTAGTTTCTGGGCGTGGAAGATTTAGATGCTGAGTTGTCTGTGAGCTAAAACACAAGTTAGTCTAGTACAGGCCAGTATCTTAAGTAAAATTGTACACTAAAAGTATACCTGATAGCAAACTATGATGTTTTGCTGGCGTCACATTTCCTTACTGAAGAATTTGTTTCTGTATGTACTGGTTGGCAGGCTGTATTAAAAATTTTCATTGTTTTTTCCATTTCCCTTTAATGTCTTCTGCATATTTACTTACTTGATTTTTTTATTTTTGATGTGTGTGTGAAGTGGTACTATTCTTTCTTTCCACTCAAAGACTATGACATTAATTTAGTGAATTAAATAAAACAATTATAGTTATGATTGTCTTCAGTGTTTCTCTGACATTTCTAAATATTTCTTAAACTTTGCCTTTTGTCTTCTTCCCCCATTCTTACACCTTTTTCTCTTCAATGTAATGGAAGTCTTGCTTTGGTAGTTTCAGTGGAGATAGCATTGTATTCATCATTAATACCAATCTTGAGACGTCTTTTAACAGTAAAGTAATTGTCGTGAGCAGTGTTTGAATAGCAGATTCTGTGTGTTTGGAGGTCTTAGCACACTCAAGAAAAAGCCTAAATATTCTTGTGCCTCATGTTGGGGATCTGAAAGCTTGCTTATGCACCATCTACTTTTTCTTCTGCTGACAGCTGCTTAAGATGGTATTGCCAATGCCACATGCTTTTACTTCCCCTGCCCTGATCTGTTTGGTGTTTGTAATAGTATTTGGCTAAATTATTGTTAATTATCCATTGGCAACTTTTGATCAGATTTTTAGTTAACAGTTGGAGGAAAGTGTTGGCAGCTTATCATGATGAATTCTGCTTTATTGGTATTCTGCAGGTATCAGGATTGCTGTTTAACTTAGGGGACTGTAGTTTCTGCTGAGTAATAAGCTGTATGTGACTTTAAATTCAGCATATTTGATAAATGTGATATATATATGACTACTTTTAAAAGTAAAACAAAACGTGAGGGAACTGTCTTAAAGTATCTCTTCTATACTGTTTTCATTTCAAGCAAATTTATGCAAAATCTGTAAGTGGAAAAATAGTGAGAAAAGTTAGCATTCAGATTAAACAACATTTTAATAGTCTTGAAGTTTCCAAAGCTATGAAATTCTATTGTTGCTCTTGCTGAAGGCTATTTGCACATGCAGTAAGAGAGGTAAGATCTTGTGATCTTATTTGCACGTATTTGGAAGGCTTTCTTTACTATATTGGCTGTGTTTTGCTTGGAAAGAAAACTCATTCTTAGAGGCGTAAGTTGGCAGCCATCTGTTACTTTTAAATGTTCAAAGCCCTGATCACACTATACAATTTTGACCTGTTGTATGAAAAACATTTTAATAAGTTAAACTGTAAAAACTTTCAGCTAATAGTGGGCTGAATGAGAAATTTTCAACAGTTAGGTCTGGTTTATTGCTAATTTTGAATGTGGAATTCTCTTGCTTCATTGGAGGAAAAAAAAGTCACTGCAGGGGAGGCAGCACTGTATTAGAACTGTGAGCCAAAACCATGGTATAAAAGAGTACTGCTGTAAAATCTTTACAACTGTTCTGAACTGTGGCTGTGAGCACAATTCCATTTGTATGTCAGAAATAGTGTGCTGCAAATAATCAGCACTACCCTATGTAGTGGTTGCCTTGTGTACCAGTGCTAGAACTATATGCCCACCATTTCTGTCATTAAGCTAGGTGATACAGATTTATGCGTTGGATACTGTAGCTAGCGCTTAAAAGTAAAGTATGTTTAAAAAGTATTATTGAGAGCTCTGTCCTAGCTCCTTAACATTTGGCAGTAGCAACCCTTACTCTTTTGCATTTCTGCCAAGAAGTTTTACTGTGAGTGGAAACATTACTGCATTCTTTTCCATTCTTGCACCTGGTTTTTACAGTCACTTTGATTTTGTGAATATGGGAGCATTTTTTTAATGTAAGTACCTGTAATCCAAAATTCTAACAGCTGTTATGTATTTTATGAAAAATTTGTTTTATCACATTGTTTCTTTGCTAGCTATAAAATCGCAGAATAGCTGAGGTTGGAAGGGACTTCTGGAGATTGTCTAGTCCAACCCCGTGCTCTGAGCAGGGTCAGCTAGAGCTGGACACTCAAGGTCTTGTCCAGTCAGGTTTTGACTGTCTCCAGGGGTGCTGACCCCTCATCTTCTCTGGGCAACTTGTTCCAGTGTTTGACCACCTCACAGTAAAAAGGTTTTTCTCATGTTTAAATGGAATTTCCTGGATTTCAATTTGTGCCCATTGCCTCCTGTCACTTGGGCACCACTGGGTGCTCCATCTTTAGACTTGTGCTCCATCTTATTTATTCCTCCCTTCAGGTAATTATATACATTAATCAAATTCCCCTGAGCCCTCTCTTCTCCAGGCTAACATTTCCAGTTCACTCTCCTCCTGCGTTGGGTGCTCGAATACCTTACCATCTTTGTGGCCCTTTGCTCAACTTGCTGCAGTGTGTCCCTGTCCCTCCTGTAGTGGGGAGCTTGGAGGTGGACTCCAGATGTTTCTCACCGAGTACAGGAAAAGGATCACCTCCCTTGACCTGGTGGTGACATTCTTCGTGATGCAGCCCAAGAGGCTGCTGGCCGCCTTTGATGCAAGGATGCATTGCTGGCTCACATTCAACTACTTTAGTCCTTATCCTTTCATTATGGTTTTTCGATTTGGGGGGGGGGGGGGTGTGTGAGGGCTGCACTAACAACGTTACCTTGTAATGCATACAATTTAAGTTGATGTTACAAAAATATCTGAATCTTATTCTATTTGTCTCTGTTAGTTTAAAATTATAGGGAAGGACTCTGAAGACCCGGGGCTATTGTCCATTTACACCTTGAGTAATCTTTGAATAATATATTGGTAAAAGGAAAGTGTTCCTGAAGATGCTAGTGATTTTTTTTAGTCTTCTGGTTTTGCCATAGGTTGTCACTGGGTATACACTGATGTAATGGTTTTATTAGTTACTTGAAGTAGTTGGTCTGAAGTAGTAAATGAAGAGACATGTCAAGAACACTTTGTTCAGTTGTTTCATGGATAATAATTGGAGAATAAACTATTTTATGATACAGTGTTTCTTAAACTGTAAATATAAATAACCATAGATGTTTGCCTAAACTGAGATAATGTTCTGTTACAAAAACTGGTTGTAGAAATGAGTCCTCTTTGCAAACAGAATTGTCTTTAAGTATCATTCAAACAATTTGATGCCTAATGTAAATGGACAAATGCATTACTCATATTGTAATTAAAAGCGTTTAGACAATGAAAACTTTTATCAGGGTTCCCCCTTTCTTACCCATATCAAAGTATTAGTTACTGTCTAGTTACTAGCAGTAGGAGATGGTTGCAGTGTAGAGATTATATTTTTTGGCTTACGACACTCTTGTAATGATCCAACTTCTGTGAATTTTCTCAGTTCCAGGGTGCCTCATGGTGGCTTTGCCCATATAATGGGTGGCAGTGGATTGCAAAATTTTACAATTGCTGCTGTGCCATATACTGCAAATCTTTTGCCAACATCAAGCACATGGTATGTTAAATAGTCTTATTGAAATATCTTAAAACCAGGGCTTTTTCATGTCAGTTGCAGCCAAAAGTACCGTTCTTTTGACTATTTTCATTAAAAGGCCAAAAAAAATTTCAGACAGTTTGTGAAGTATTCACTATCCAACATAAAAGTGGTGGGTTTTAACGCAGGGGATGTTACATTATGCTTGCTCATTGTTTACTACTTTATTTTGCTTTAGTAAAGGCAGTGGGATTAATAAGGGAATATTAAAGTTAAATTATTGTATTACAATTTACTGAAGTGAAAAACCCCTCTATTTCCTGCAATATATTTGAATGCTCAGTGGTGCTGTAATGCAGCACAAGTTTTTTTTTCTTCCATAAATGTGACATCATCAGGGTTTTCATTCAGAAAACTTTACTGTTGGGTTTCTTGCTGAATTGTGATGTGGCTTTATTTTTCTTTTCTTTCCAGTATCAACATGCTCAAGTTACCTGAATACCCAAGTAAAGAAATCCTTAAGGACAGGCTTCTTGTGGCATTGCACTGTGGAAGCTATGGTTACACAATGGCATAATGAAGTACAGAAAACTCATCTGACTACTGATGTTCAGAGTGGCAGAAGTAATTTTGGAAACTGTCAATAGAAAAGCAGCTTAGATGCTGCAGCCCGTTGGCAGGGCTGGGCTTCAGAATTCATACAGGATCATCATTTCCTCCATTATGTGTTGTCAAAGTAACCAATACTGTCACAACAAACTTCTCAGTGTTTTCATTTTTTTAAATGACAGATCTGTGTGGAAATCAGTTTACATGCTTTTCATTATTACTTCAGTCTAAATCATAAAGTTTGTCAGAATCTTTCCACACTTTTGATTTTCAACTATATGGTTGAATGACATCTGCGTTTTAGTTTGCTTTGCCCTCAGATTGCATACTGCTAATGGACAGACTTGTACTTTATGCCTTGTTGCATGTGAAAGTGCCGTTTATTTTTGCGGAGAACGCTATAGAAAGTTCAATTTGGATATTGTACAGTAAGACAGATCTGATGTATTTTCCATTTCTTTGCATAGTAACAGAAATAAAATTTTATAACTTTTTAGTATTTTAATGTATATAGTATGTAAAGATTAGACTGTTATCACTGGAAAAAATAACAGATGAAGTTAATATCTAATTTATATTCGAATTTACAATATATTCTACAAAATATTTAAAGTATTTGTGACTTTATAGTCAACTTGCAGTTTAGAATTTGTAAATATTATTTAAGATCAATATCCATTTGTTTGAATGCCTTTACTTTTTCCTTGACATAATTGTATGTTCAAAAAGTATTATTAAATTTTAATATTTTTACCAGAATCTGAATGTGACAAGTTTTTTTGTCTTTGTGGGTGTTTTATTCTTTTTTCCCCCCAGGATTTTATTCATCTTACTATATTACAATTTAAATTAATTGTCATGGAAGTAGCATTTGAGAAGGCATTGTCAGAGTGTATGGATGGACATAAGCAATGCACAAGGAAGGAACTTGAGCTTATTGAGGTTAACTGGCAAGACTAGAATGAATCTCATGTCAAAATGTATATAAAATTAGAATGTATTACTCAATATATAAAAATACACAGCAATGGCTCATCATCATGTGTTTTTGATGGTAAGTAGCTGCACATGTTGGGGTAGATGATGCATAACTGCTTTTTAGGGACGTTGTTTTGGTTCAGGCTGGGAGTGGTGGTTTGGTTGGGTTTTTTTTCTTTACGTTAATCTGGTCATCCCTGCCTGTCATGCTTTTGCTTCAGAGAATGCAAACTGGATTCTCTCCAGGTGAAAATAAACAGAAAAACATGATCCAAAAATGTACCAAATGCAGACATAATTAAGTGTTCATCCATTAGCAAGACCTAACTGATCTGAAGAGGTGATCTGAAGAGTTAGTAAATGAGTTCAGGCATAGCGAACCCCCCAAACACGTAAATTTTAAGGTTCAGCACAAACTGTTTGCTACTAATCCAGTCATTTCCTACACTAAGTGCTAATACATGTGTAGCCTGAGTTTACCGGCTGATCTGTCTAGGCTGCTTACTTGGTGCTGTTTCTTGAGATTTTATTTATTTTAGTCTGAAGTCTGGGGGTGTGAGAGAGAAATATGTGGACCATCTGATTCAGTGGTGCCATGGTAATTTTACGTTGGGCTGAGCTTTATACATAGACTTAGTAGCTTTATTTCCCTTCCAGTTCTGTTTGTGCACATGTATGCATAAATGTTGGTTTAAATTCTTACGCATTGTTTGTGACTGCAGCTTGTAGGAGAATACTGCTTTTAGTTAGCAGGAAGAGCAGACTCTTCCAGCAGGGCAATCCGGTGAAAGCTGGTTAAACTCTATTGCTTCAGTCACTGGAGAGATGCTGTTCTTCTCTGGCATGCCCTAGGAAGCTTAGACTATTTAGATAGGTTAGATGTTTGAGGCTGTGGGGATTTTAGCATTAAATCCCAGTTGCCTTGGATCCTTCAGTTAGCAAAAATACTCTGCTTTTCTGCACAGTTGGGCACTGCTTGGTTCCCTGGCTATGTAGCTTATTTCTTTGTGTGCCTCTGCAAGGTAGATGGATTGCAGGACAGTGTTTTGAGCAATACAAGGCATTTGTCAGGAATTATGTATTCCTGTTTTCTTTAAACTGGGATTTTATCCTTATGTGAGGGTTTTACTGTAAATACTGTTGTTCATTAACTACTATGCAATCTGTTTTTTTTTTTTTTCTTTTTTCATTTCACATGTTCTGTTTCACAGTAATAACAGCTGTTTGCAGGAAACTGAAACCTTGCGTACTCCTGCGTAGTGTCCAAAACATGTCATACCATAACACTGAGTGAAGGGGAAAAAAGAATCAGATTCTTTTTCTTTTTTTTGCACTTACACTTTTGTATTATACTGTAGGTGACATAGGCATCAACAAGCTGAATTTGGTCTCAAAAGTATTTCTAAAATGCTCTGCAACTGGTTTTGAAATGTAATGGAGTGCAGAATTTTAATGTTCTCAACAGTTCCCTATGACAGATCTCCCTGTTACAGCCTCACAAATGGTTCAGAAAAAAATTGCTCCTTCCTCCCCCATCCTGATGTTAGTCATGTCCCGTATGAAGTATCTTGTGGTATTTCTTGTAATATTTGTACCAAATACTCCCTTGGTAGGTCACAATGAAATGTTGTTAAAATACTCTTGTAATAAAAAAGCATGATGAAAATGTGTAGAAAATGGGAATAGAGCTCTCGATACTGGACTCTTGGCATAACAGCAACCTTGTTATTGCTTGTTTTGAACAGGTTTTTTTCC